TTTATTTTTTATTTTATTTTATTTTATTTTTTTCTCATTTTTAAAAAAATTAAATGTGTACATATTTTACCAATCTCCACCCCACCCCCACTCCCATACATGCCCTCCCTCCCCAGAGTTTTTCGTCCATTGGTTATGCTTATATGCATGCATACAAGTCTTTCGGTTGATCTCTTATCTCTTATCTCCCTCCCCTCCCTGCTGTAATTTGACAGTCTGTTTCTTTTACTGTCTCTGTATTTATCTTTTTGTTCATCAGTTTATAATGTTCCTTATTATCCATAAATGAGTGAGATCATGTGGTGTTTTTCTTTCATTGACTGGCTTATTTCACTGAGCATATTGTTCTCCAATTCCATCCAGGTTGCTGCAAATGATAAGAATTCCTTCTTTTTTATGGCAGCATAGTATTGTGTAGACATACCATAGTTTTTTGATCCAATCATCTGCTGATGGGCACCTAGGCTGTTTCCAAATCCTAGCTATTGTAAATTGTGCTGCTATGAACATAGGGGCGCATATATCCTTTTTGATTGGTATTTCTAGTTTCTTAGGATATATTGCTAGGAGTGGGATTACTGGGTCAAATGGGAGTTCCATTTTCAGTTTTTTGAGGAAACTCCATACTGTTCTCCACAGTGGTTGCACCAGTGTGCATTCCCACCAGCAGTTCATGAGGGTTCCTTTTTCTCCACAACATCTAATATTTGTCATTTTAATTATGACTTGTCTTGTACGGTCCTCTTTGGGTTCACCTTGTTTGGGACTCTGTTTCATGGATTTATTTATTTTTTATTTATTTATTTATTTATTTATTTATTTATTTTTTACCAGATTAGGGAAGTTTTCAGTCATTATTTCTTCTTCAAATGGGTTCTCAATTCCTTGCTATCACTCTTCTTCTGGTACCCCTATGATGTCAATGTTGTTATGCTTGATGTTGTTCCAGATGTTTCTTAACCTGTCCTCATTTTTAAAAATTGTTTTTTCTTTTTGCTGTTGTGATTTTCCCCCCCATTACCTTGTCATTCAGATCATTGAACTGATCATCTGCTTAATCTAATCTGGTGTTTATTCCAGATAATGTATTCATTTCAGTTATATTCCTCACTTTTTCTTTTGACTGGTTCTTTTTTTTTTTTTTTTAAGTTTATTGATTTTAGAGAGAGAAGTAGGGAGAGGGAGAAGGAGAGAGAGATAGAAACTTTGATGAAAGGGAAACATCAACGTCAATTGGCTGCCTCTTGTACACCCCTTGCTGGGGAGCAAGCCTGCAACCTAGGCATGTACCCTGACTGGTAATTAAACTTGCAACCTCTTGTTGCATGGATTGATATTCATCACTGAGCAACACTGGCTGGGCATTGACTAGTTCATCTTAGGGTTTTGTCTCTTTGTGTAAGTTCTTACTGAGATAATCTATTTTTCCCCTAAGTTCATTGAACATTTTTATTACCAGTGTTTTGAACTATCTACAATAGTAGATTGCTTGCCTCCATTTTATTATTTTTTTCTGGAATTTTCTTTTGTTCTTTCATTTGGGACATGTTTCTTTGTTTCCTCTTTTTACTTGCCTTCCTGTGTTTGTTTCTTTATATAAGGTAGATCTTCTACATCTTTCAGACTTCGCAGGGTGGCATTATTACATAGTAGGTATCCTGTGGGACCCAGTGTTAGAGACTCCTTTGAGGACTGTCCATAGAGGATGAGCGCTTATGCAGGTGCTGATCTTACAGAGGGAGATTAGCTGATGCCTGCTGATTTCACCTTTTGGGTGTGCCTTTTGTTGAGCTAATTGGATGGTGCTCTTGTTTTGTTTGAATCCAGCCAGTGGGTGTGTTGGCTCTGGGGCCTCTTGGGTGGAGCTCTGGTGGAGGACCATCTGAGCCACTGCCTGTGCTATAGCTGCCTCTACTGGCCTTGGAGGCACCTGGGAAAGGTTTTGCTGAAAATGTAGGCTAACTGCCACTAGTGTTGGTCTTGGGGCAACTTAGCAAGAGGTACAGGTCATGCTGAGGCCATCCTATTTTTTTGAGGATTGTGGACTTTTGAGAGATTTTTGGAAAGTCCACATGTAGCATGGGTTGAGGCTGGCTCCTTGTGAGGAACAGCTATTAAAAGAGATTCAGGCTTGTGTGTGAGTTGGGTGGAGTGGAGGTCTCAAGGAGTCAGCAGGATGGAGGAGTGGTGTTAGACTGTTTCATGGAGATTCAGATTTGGTATTGAACTGCACCGGCTGTATGGGGGAAGAGGGTTCAACAAAGCAACAATGTCCACTGGGTGGGAGGAGGGCTCAACAATGAAACAATGGCCCTTGCCAGTACTTCTCTCCTTCTAGGCCTCCCCCAAAAGTCAGACAATTTAGTTCATCCCCCTAGGTCCCCAGACATTTGAGCTCCTGTCCTTTCTCTGGACTTAGTGCAAGTGTTTGTGAACAAGTAAGTGTGTGTGTAAAAATTTTTCGAGGAATGCCTGAATCTCCAGCAGTCTTCTTCCTTTTTTAGCCACAATCTATGACAGTTTTTACAGCCAGATATGTGGTGATTCCTTCTTATCAGCTCTGGTGCTCTGGGCTTGACTGCCTAGTGTGAGGCTGGGACCACTTGCTCCTTAGGGGGGAGTTCTACAGCCAAGATTTCCTTCCCAGTTTTTATTTTATTTTTTTAATGAATGAGGCACTTTATTAACCCAGCATTTGTTCTAATACTTCTTGTTGGCAGCTGCTACCTGCCCTGGGATTCTGTCCAGATCTGTGTCCCTGACGTGTCAATTTGCAGCCCCCGTCCTGATCCATTTTCACGTCTTTTACAGTAACTCTGGGCATCATGTGGCCTCTGTGCTGCCAGCCAGGGGGAAAAGCCTTCCCAATTCTTGACTGCCACATATGAGTATGGAACCAGTCCATTTGTTGTGTCCTCCCCTCCCACCAGTTTTGATGTGGGTTCTTCTTTATATCCTTAGTTATAGTAGATCTTTTTATCTATTTTTCAGATGCTTCTCAGGGATGGTTGTTTATTATAATTTTGTTTTTGCTATGTGGTCATGGAAGGAGGCAAGTACAATATTTACCTATCCCACCAATTAAAATTTTTTTAAATATGTTTTTATTAATTTCAGGAGAGGAAGGGAGGAATAGAAACATCAATGATGAGAGAGAATCATTGATAGCCTGCCTCCTGCATGCCCCCTACTGGAGATCAAACCTACAACCTGGGCATATGCTGTATCGGGAAATCAAACCATGACCTCCTGGTTAATGGGTTGACCCACCACAAACCACTGAGCCATATCAACAGTCCCACCAGTTCTTTTTAAATACTTTCCTCCCTTAACCTGTATGTTATAATTAAGAATTTCATATCCTCTTCTGAAATAGAGTTGCAAATTCCTGCTTCTGTCTCTTTGTTTATCTTAAGTTTTTTATTCTTTTTTTCTTTTTAAGTAGAAGAGCTCCTTTCAACATTTCTTGTAATGCAGGTCTTGTGCAGATAAATTTCGTCAGCTTCTGTATGTTTGGAAAAGCCTTTATTCTCCTTAGGATAAATTTTCTGAATATCCTTGGTTGATGATTTGTCTCTTTCAATAATTTGAATATTTGATTCCCCTCTTTAATTTCTTTTAGGGTTTCTGCTGAAAAATCTGATGATAATCTAATGGGGTTGTCTTTGTTTAAAATATGTTTTTATTGATTTTTAGAGAGAGGGGGAGGGAGAGGGCAAAAGAGAAACATAAATGACCAAGGACATCATCAATTGGCTGCCTTATGCACCCCCTCCCCCACTGGGCATCAAGCTCAAAGCCTGTCCATGTGCCTTGATCAGGATTTGAACCAGAACCTCTTGGTACCTGAACTGATGCTCAACCGCTGAGCCACACTGGCCAGGCAAATAGGTTTTTCTTATAGGTTACTATCTTCTTTATCCTGGCTGCCTTGAAGATTCTTTATCATTAATTTTTGACATCTTTAATATCCTGTGCCTTGGAGAAGGCTTTTTTTGGATTGAGATAATTAGGTATTCTGTTAGTTTCTCAAATTTGAAGTTCCAGCTTTTTCCAGTTTGGGAATTTCTCATAGATTATTTGGTTGAATTGGCTCTCTGTTTCATTCTCCTTCTCATACATTTTATTGTTATATTGCTCTTTCTAATGGAGTCAGAAGTTCTCAGGAAGTTATTTCATTTTCTTAAACCTATCAATTCTCTCCTTTCACCTGAATAATTTCTAGATTTCTATCTTTAAGATCACCAAATCTGTCTTCCATCTGTCTGTTTCCTAAGCTCTCTGATCCTACATCTCACTTACTGAGTTTTTTAGCTCCAGAATTTCTGTTTCGTTCTTTTTTATAGTTTCAGTCTCTTTTGCAACATACTTGTTTTGCTTGTTGACAATCAATTAGCATATTCCTTCTTTATTAAGTAAGATGCTTCAATGATTTTTCTGTTCATATGTTACCACACACACACACATACACACACACACACACACACACACACACACACAGAGGCCCACTTATTTTCACATAATTACTTTCAACACCCTGAGTCAGTAATTTTCAACCTTTTTAATCTCATGCCCACATAAATTAATTACTGAAATTCTGTGGTATTCCAACATTTTTTTTTGCTGATCTGACAATAGAAATAGGTATAATTTTGATTCATTCACACCAGATGAATATTGTTGTGTTGGCTATTGTCATTTTTTCATTTGACAATCTAAGGGAAAAGAGGTCAGTGTCCCTGGCTAAATAGTCAGGTATTTCATGTTTTAAAAATTCTGCTTTATACCAGTGTGCACACAGTTGAAAATCCCTGCTATAAGGCATAAACCCTATATGCATAATTCACAAAAATTCTAGTAGGGGTCAATGATTTATTTTCCTTATTGCAATAAGAATAAAATTTCATATTAATTTCATATGATTTTCTAGTACTTGAACTAATAAAATGAATTATAAGTATTTAACTTTGTGTTTTCATTCTCTTATATTTACATTGAAGATTTTGGTGCCACTGGTTTTGCTACAACAAATGCTTTTGGAGTTGACAAAGCGTGGTCAAAAACCTTTGGGTACATTGCTACAGTTTGGTGTGACATATCTGGAAGACTATGCAGCAGAATACATCATCCAGCAAGGTGGCTGGGTATGAGCTCTACTTATTTTTTTTAAAATCATTATTATTAAAAGTATTACATATGTCCCCTTTTCCCCTCATTTACCCCTTCTATTATAGCATGCCCCCACCTCCCACCCCAGACCTTCACCACCCTATTGTCTGTGTACATGAGTTATGCATATATGCATATAAGTTCTTTGGTTGATTACTTCCCACCTACCCACCCTCCCCTGCTTTCCCTCTGAGATTCCATAGTCTATTCCATGCTTCCATGTCTCTGGATCCACTGTTCATCAGTTTATTTTGTTGATTAGACTCCACATATGAGGGAGTTACGTGATACTTGTCTTTCTCTGACTGGCTTATTTCACTAAACACAATACTCTCCAGGTACCTCCATGCTGTCTCAAAGGGTAAGAGTTCTTTTTTTGAAAATTTAAAAACATACATTTTTTATTTCTTTTTACATAGAGGAAGGGAGAGGGATAGAGAGTTAGAAACATAGATGAGGGAGAAACATAGATCAGCTGCCTCCTACACATCTCTCACTGGGGATGTGCTTGCAACCAAGGTACATGCCCTTGACTGGAATCGAACCTGGGACCTTTCAGCTCTATCCACTGAGCCAAACCAGTTAGGGCAAGATCCTTCTTTTTTACTGATGCATAATATTCCATGGTATAAAGGTACCACAGCTTTTTTATCCACTCATCTACTGATGATCTCATGGACTGTTTCCAGATCTTAGCTATTGTAAATTGTGTTGCTATGAACAGGGGGGTGCATATATTCCTTCTGATTGGTATTTCAGGTTTCTTAGGATATATTTCCAGAAGTGGGATCACTGGGTCAAATGGCAATTCCACATTTAAGTTTTGAGGAAACTCCATATTGTTTTCCCTAATGGCTGCAACAGTCAGCATTCCCACCAGCAGTGTGTACTAGGGTTCCCTTTTCTCTACTTTGTTGCCAGCACTTGTTGATTTGTTGATGATAGCCTTTCTGACAATTGTGAGGTGATACCTTGTTGTCATTTTAATTTGCATCCCTCTGATCAGTAACTCTGAGCATTTTGTCATGTTTCTTGGCCATCTGTGTGTCCACTTTGGAGAAGTCTCTATTTAGGTCCTTTGCCCATGTTTTAATTGGATTGTCTTTCTTTTGTTAAGTTGTATGAGTTCCTTATATATTTTGGATATTAACCCTTTACCAGATGTGACATTGCTAAATATGTTCTCCCATACAGTGGGCTCCCTTTTCATTTTGTTGATGGTTTCTTTTGCTTTGCAGAAGCTTTTTATTTTGATATAGTCCTATTTATTTTCTTCTTTTTTTGTCTTTCCCTAGGAGATGTAGCTGTAAACATATTGCTACAAAAGATGTCTGAGCTTTTGCTGCCTGTGGTTTCTTCTAGGACAGTGGTTGGCAAACTCATTAGTCAACAGAGCCAAATATCAACAGTACAACGATTGAAATTTCTTTTGAGAGCCAAATTTTTTAAACTTAAACTTCTTCTAACACCACTTTTTCAAAATAGACTTGTCCAGGTCGTAGTATTTTGTGGAAGAACCACACTCAAGGGGCCAAAGAGCTGCATGTGGCTCGTGAGCTGCGGTTTGCTGACCACGGTTCTAGAATATTTACGGTTTTACAACTTACATGTAAATCTTTTATCCATTTTGAATTTATTCTTGTGTATGCTATAAGTTGGTGATCTTGTTTCATTTTTTCACATGTATGTGTTCAATTTTCCAAATTTCATTTATTGAAGAGACTGCCTTAATTCCATTTTATTTTCTTGCCTACTTTGTCAAATTTTAATAGATCGTAAAGTCTTGGTTCAATTTCTAGGGTATCTGTTCTATTCCATTTACCTATATGCCTGTTTTTGTGCCAATGCCAAGCCGTTTTGATTGCAGTGGCTTTGTAGTATAACTTGATATCTGGTATTGTGATTCCTCAAATTATGTTCTTCTTTCTCAAGATTGCTGCAGCTATTCGGGTCTTTCTGGTTCCAGATAAATTTTTGGAGTATTTGTTCTAGATCTGTTAAATATGCTATTATCATTTTAATAGGGATTGCATTGAATCGGTAGATTGATTTGGGTCATATGGATATTTTAATGATATTAATCCTATTAATCTATATGAACACTGTATTTCCCACCCCACTTATTTACATCTTGCTCTATCTCTTTTTTCAATGTTCTATAGTTTTCCCAGTATACGTTTTTTACTACCTTGGTTAAGTTTATTCCTAAGTATCTTAATACTTTTGTTGAAATGATAAGTGGAATTGTTTATTTTGTTTCTCTTTCTGAGAATTCATTATTGATGTATAAAAAAGCCATCAATTTTGGGGTGTTGATTTTGTATTCTGCTACATTGTCAAATTAATTTATTAAGTCTAGTAGTTTTTTTGTGGAGTCTCTAGAGTTTTCTATGTACAATATTATGTCTTCTGTGAATAATGAGAGTTTTACTTCCTCATTTCCAATTTGGATGCCTTTAATTTCTTCTTGTCTGATCGCTGTGGCCAAGCCTTCCAGTACTATGTTAAATAACAGTGGTGAAAGCATACATCCCTGTCTTGTTCTTGGTTATAGAGGAAATGGTCTTAGTTTTTGTCCATTGAGTATGTTTGTTGTAGTTTTGTCACATATGGCCTTTATTATGTTGAGATATGCCCCCTCTATTCTCACTTTGCTGAGAGATTTTATAATTTGTGCAGGGGTTGGGGGTGTCCCTCAACCCACCCTACACTCTCCTATCTGGGACATCCCTTTCACAATCTGGGACTGCTCACTCATAACCACTTTGCTGAGAGATTTTATAAAAAACTAGAGGCCTGGTGCATGAAATTTGTGTAGGGGGGTGGAGGGTGTCCCTCAATCCAGCCTGCGCTCTCCCATCTGGTACTGCTCACTCCTAACCGCTTACCCGTCTGCCTGCCTGCCTGATTACCCCTAACCATTTCTTCCTGCCAGCCTGATCGCCCCCTAATTGCTCCCCTGCTGGCCTGATTGAACCTAATAGTCTAATCGCCCCCAATTGCCCTCCCCTGCCAGCCTGGTCACCCCCAGCTGTCTTCTCCTGCAGGCCTGATTGCCCCATCAGCCCTCCCTGCAGGCCTGGTTTCCCACAACTGCCTTCCCCTGCAGGCCTGATGTTGCCCCCAACTGTGCTTTCCTGCTGGCCATCTTTGGCAGCCATCTTATGTTGATGTAAGAATGGCCATCTTGTGATGACATCATGTGATGCCACTTAGGCTTTTATTATATAGGATGGATATTAGATTTTGATGAATGCTTCTTCTGCATCAATTGATATGATTGTGTGATCTCTGCGTTTCAGTTTGTAAGTGATATATCACATTTATTGATTTGATGATATTGTACCAGCCTAGCATCCCTGAAATAAATCCCACTTGGGCATGTTGTGTGATCTTTTTAATATATTGCTTGATCTGATTTATTAGTATTTTTGAGGATTTTAGCATCTATGTTCTTTATAGATATTGGCCTATAATTCTTTCTTTGCAGCGTCTTTATCTGGTTTTGGAATTAAGATAATGCTGGCCTCATGAAAAGAGCTTGGATGTGTTCCTTCCTCTTGGATTTTTTTGGAATAGTTTGAGTATATAAGTATTAGTTCTTCTTTGAATGTTTGATAAAACTGCCCTGTCAAACTGTCCAGTCCCAGGTTTTTGTTTGCTGGAAGTTTTTTATTACTGCTTCCACCTCCTCAATTGTTACTACTGTGTTTCCCCGAAAATAAAACATCCTCCAAAAATAAGACCTACAAGTTTCCTTCTGAGTGAAATATAAGGCATCCCCCCAAAAATAAGCCCCCCTCCCCCAGGCTCTGTCTCAGAATGAAAATTAATTTACAAACAAACAAACAAAAAACCTCCCAACTGCACTAAAATCCAGTTCTGGGTGAGACTTTGAATACCCAGACTTATTAGGGGAGAAACTAAAATGTCTGACAGCAGGCAAAACTCGAGAGCAGGCTTCTCTCAGTGGTGTGTGCAGCCACTGCTGTGAGACACTGAGACACAGGGGCCGCTCAGGGCGAGGCTGATGGAAAACCAAGGCTGTCTTATCTACCCTGAGGCTCTGCTCAATCCAATTCTGAGCACAGAAGCTCTCCCAGCATAGACACAGCTGATCCTCACAGCCAACTGGCCTGGAGGTCAACTCCCCAGTGATACTAACAACAATCTAGGCTTAACTACAACAAGATGGCACACACAGCCCACAAAGGGGCATACCAAGAGTGTCCACCTCAGATAACTGGGGAGGCTGAATCATTGGACCCTGCTAGGACACCTACCATGTTTCCCCGAAAATAAAACATCCTCCGAAAATAAAACCTACTTACAGGTTTCCTTCTGAGTGAACTATAAGGCATCCCCCCAAAAATAAGGCCCCCCAGGCTCTGTCTCAGAATGAAAATTAATTTACCGTAAACTGGTCGCTGGGGCCGCCCCGACTGGCGTCTAGCAACCAGTGACATTACGTGGAGTCCTGACGTCACTGCTGTGTGGAGGCGGAGCGGAGGTCGGGTGAGCGGTGAGCAGGGGCGGGAGAGAGGAGGAGGCTTTCGCAGATGCGTGTAGAAGAACAGGAGGATTAGAGCAGACAGGACGCAGCGAAGGTGCTGAGTGCTGGTCTATCTCTGGTGACACTACCTGATGCTCGTGGCCGCCCTCATGATGACTGAAGGTTCTCAGTCAGTGGCAGACCCTGCTCCAGCCCAGATCCAGGCCCCAGCAAGTCCAGAGACAGTCCCCAGGCAGGTCCCAGGGGGTAAATGTCTGATAAAGGGGTAGGGGGAGGTCTGGTGAAGGTGTTCAGTGGCACAGGGGTGGGGGGAGGGGATCACTTAAAATGACACAGGAGGATCAGAGGGGACAATCAAAATGACACAGGAGGATCAAAAGGGGTTACTAAAATGGTAATCCCCCCTCTGATTCTCCTGTGCCATGTTGATTCTTCCCTCTAATCCCCCCCTGTGTCATTTTA